GCGACTCAAAGTCATGTCTCCACGGAAGAGCAGGCGAAGGCAGCAACGTCTCCAGGAGGCAGCGGTGCGGGCCTGCAAGCCAAGTGATTAGCTGACCAATAAACAGAGCACTGGCCTCTCGTCTCCCGTAACAGCTGAGGGTCTTTCCTTCTCATGCACCCTGCCAGGGCCACAGGGAAAGTCCTTAACTCGAGCCAACAAAGAAAGAAAATAGTGCTGCTTCTCCAAGTACAGGTCCTTCAGTTCTCTCTCTCACTTCCAACCCATCGTGCTGAGAACTCACAAAATGAACGCAATGAATGTAAAAGTAAGCAGAAAGATGAAAAGAGCGGGAGGGGGGAAAGCCACTCACATTTATGAGCTTGTAACACAAAGCCGTGATAGCGACGGGCCCACTCTCCCACCACCCGGAAGCCACGCCCCAGTTTCACATCGGAGTGAGCTGAGCATGGGTGTTAGCAGGCAATCCGCGAAGGCCAGGGGTCAGGGTGCATTCTTCAGCCTGGGAGCAGCATTTGGAGATACACAGAGCAGTTCTTTCCCTCCCCCGGGGTGAGGAACAACAGACCCTGACACACAGGCATCCCACAGCTCAAATGAGCATTTCCTGCCAATGTGCCCTGAACTCCCAGATCGGGGAGCGAGGCGGGAGGCCACGCCGGGTGAGCTTTCCCACTGGGAGAGCTTCCCCACTGGGCTCCGCCCGCAGAATTTATTCCTCAGACACAAGGCCCCAGCCTGCAGCCAGAGTTCAAGAACAAGAGGGCAGACATGGTGACACTCTCTGATTGTAGGGAAGAGGGACCAAGGACAGGGAGTCATGTGGTCTAACACACATCTGTCTCAACAGAGGCGCCACCAAACGGCATTTCTCAGTATCACTAATCTCATGTGTAGAATTGACACTGCAAAACACTGTGAACACTTAATTCTTGCACTTCTGAAAGTTAGCACCTGATACAATCTGAAGAGTTAAAATTGTTGCAAGAGCATATTCTAGCAAAAAAATGATACCTTGTTGGTTAAAAGCTGGAAAGCTATCTAAAGTTTCGTAGTGCCCTGCACCCTGAAAGAAGGAAGACTAAAGTTCTTTTGGAAGCATGTCTTCCATTTGTTCTGGTGACAAAAATTTCAATTTTCAGGTCAAAGTAAGGATGGTTATACAAGGAGACAAGCGTTGCCATCCAACATGGCCATTGGATATACATTTCAGCAGAAAAGTTGCATTGCGAATTTGGGTGTTTGTATGGGAGAAGTGTTCCTCCTCTATCCGTATTTATCAGATCTGAGTCTGTGTGTACTTGTCTTCTGCAGAAGGTCTCCTCCTTTGCATTCAGCCCAAGGAGTGGTTCACTGGAGATCAGAAGCAAAGACCCAATGGTATCAAGAAATAGACACAAACTTGTTCTTCACTTTGAACCAAAGGAGAGAGTGGGAGAGGGAATTGGTCACATCTTGCTGCAGCTCAATGGAAAGGGATCTGTTATTAATGTACACGGACACCCCACCTCTCCACACTGGTATTTGAAACGGACTCCCTCAGGCTTTGGGAGACATGCTGGCGATGGACTTTTGTGTTCCCACGTCATCCGGGTGTCACAGAGCCAGGTCAAATCCCGTGCGTAGGGGCCTGCGTCACTACTGTAGTAACCAATATTTGTGCAAAGAAAGCATGCAGCGGAGACAGGTGAAATTCTAAAAGGCGCCTCCTTCAGACAGATGAATTTTAGAAGGCACCCCCCCCTCAGGCAGACAAATTACAAAAAGGGTGCTCCACCGTCGGCTAAAGGGTCACAAAAAGGGGCCTTTTCCATCTGGCGCCAAGACTTGGTTCTGCCAACAGACTCCAGTCCAACCATTATCCTTCTGACTAGGACCACCCTCAGTGAGCATTCGTGAGTTATGGCACATGAACAAATGAACCTGAAGTCAGCCAGCTTATGTGCTTACAGAAAGGAAAGAAACTCATTTGGATTTTAGTGCCTTTTTTCTTTATAATCATCTATTAATTGTCCAATTATGTGTGAAAGGCTCCAAAATAATCCCAGTGGATTGGTTCTTTTGGAAAAATCATTCAGTGATTTGGATCTAATTTTTTTCCACCATTTTGGCCACCACCACAGAATTCCATTAGTTAATATTTGCTTCTTTGTGCTCCTGAATTTAGTAGGAATCTGAAATCTGAATCTGAAAATGCCCACATAGTGGTTCTCACTGCTCCCTGGGAAATTTCCTGTGAGAAATGCTATCAGAGTGGGATTTATAATTTTTCCTTAAGAGGCTATATAATCATCACCTTTGGAAGGAGAGAAGACCAAGCTTCATAGACCTTTCGGTCCCATCAGTCAATCTAAATAGGTCTCATGGGCACAACTGGAAGAGACCAACCATGTCCATCCATGGATTGGAAGGTTAATTATAGCAAATATCAATCTTCCCTTGACCCAAGTTAATATATAGGTTTAATGTAATTCCTATCAAAATCCCAGTAAGATTTTTGTAGTCATATTATTCGAAAATTTATATGGAAATGCAAATGAGCTAGAATTACTAACCCAGTTTTTGAAAAAGAAGAATAAAATGCGAAGAATCAGTCTACCTGATTTCAAGACTAGTTGTATAGCTATAGTAATGTAGATCCTATTGGTGGAATAGAACATAAAATTCAGAAATAGATTTACAAAACTATGCCCAACTGATATGGACAAGTACAGAAACAGTTCAAAGGATGGAAGGTAGCCTTTTTTTTTTTTAATGGTGCTGGAGCAATTGGACATCCACAGGCAAAAGGAAGGAAGGAAGGAAATGAACCTCTACTTCAGTCTCACAACTTATACAAAAATTAACTCAAAATGGATCATGAACTTAAATATAAAATGTAATCATAAGGAGGGGATGGAGGCAGGAAGGAAATCGGTGACTACAAAAGGACAACAAGAGGGGTTGTGATGGACATGTTGGGCATCATGACTATATTAATGTCCAAACCCTGGCTCCGATATGATAGAGTAATTTTTGCAAAATGTTACCATTGGTGGGGGGGAGGGGGATGGGCCAAGGGTACATGGGACCTCTCTGTTTTAGTTCTGACACCTGCATATGAATTTCCAACTATCTCAAAATAAAAAGTTGAACTTGAAACTAAAATAATACGTCTTTCAAAACTGTAATCCACAGTTGAGCTCAAAACAAGACAGGAGGTCTCAGTGTGCCAACAGGGGACAGAAAGGAGAGGAGAGTGGGAGCTGAGGCTGAAGGGCTGTCCCTGGAGCGAGCCATGGCCAAGGGATCGGGCTGAATTCCCCAGCAAGGCTGGGATTGAGGCTGGGGTTTGGGGAAGAGCCGGAACCGTATTTATTTTAATAAAGCATGAGCTGGGAAAGACTGTCCCTCACTGCAAACAAGAACTTAAAATATTTCTTTACTGACTCAGGTACAGTCTAGGTGGTAGATACCTAAACCAAGCCCTTGGTAGAAGTGGAGTACCCCATAATGAGCCTGAACCTCAAGTTGTATCAGGCACAAGAGTGGAGTCTAAGAGTTTAGACTATCCTACAGTGCAAAAATCTGAACTGAAATACTAACAACTACCCAACCTAGAACCAGTCCTGTAGGTCCTGGCAAAAGCAGATCCAAAGCCACCCACTGAGACCTTCACAGGTCACAGTTCCCACTAAGGATGAGTTCTGAGGTTAATTGGTTAAAGAATAGAGTTTCTCCATCAAAGAACCAAGAGTGGAACAAATCAACTACACCGTTCCAAAGACATAAATTCCATAACTTCAAAGTTATAAAAGTGATGCGCGGAAAGGGCCGATGCAAGTGGCTGAGGCGGACAGAGGGAGAGCCACCAGCTGAGACCCAGGCTAACTCCATCTACAACAGCCTTCAGGGAGTGGGGACCGGAGCCCAGGGCGGGAAGGTGGTCATCCCACCGCTTGTCATGGGTGACCTTTCTTGGGTCTTCAGGTTGCAACCATCTGAGTCTGCTCTGAGGGAGACTAAACGGACTTCAAATTAGAGACAGTTCCCAGAGAACACAACCACCACCAGCAGGATGACCACATCTGAAGCAAAACATATGCCGGCCCTGAGCCACACCAATGCGAAGCAGATGTCCTGCTGCACAGGACAGTGCTTCCCCGATGCCACCTCCAGGCTCCTACCTCTGAGTGGTAGGAGGCTGAGAGCCAGCATCGCCTAAGCTTGCCGCCCTGTGAATCTGGGAATGGGGGCATCCCCGGGTGAAAGGCAAAATAAATATGCTGGCAATCAGACCCCAGACAAATGATCAGGTAAAAGCAGACACCAGTCCAACCATTGTCCTCCTGATGAGGACCACACTCGGTGAGCACTGGCAAACTATGGCACGTGAACAAATGAACTTCAAGCCAGCCAGCTTGTGTGCTCACAGAAAGGAAGGAAACTCATTTAAATGTTAGTGCCCTTTTTTTTTTAATAACCATCTCTTAATTGTCCAATTATGTATGAAGGGCTCCAAAATAATCCCAGTGGATTGGTTCTTTCGGAAAAATCATTCAATGATTTGGATCTACATTTTTTCCACCATCTTGGCTGCCACCACAGAATTCCATTAGTTAATATTTGCTTCTTTGTGCTCCTGATTTATTAAGAATCTGAAATCTGAATCTGAAAATGCCCACATGGCGGCCCTCACTGCTGCTGGGGTGATTTGAAATTGAAAAGGTCCCATTCCATTCCCAAGCCTGGGAGCCACTGAGAGCTGTGGTCCCCCACCCTGGCTGCAGGCTGCAACTACTGGCTACTTTAGAGCCCTTACTCTCCTTGCCGTCCAGACTGATCAACTTTAATTTTATGCACTTCCCCTTTAACTCACTTAGAGGCCAAGACCAAGTACATTGTAAGTGCTCAGTTCACATGTGTTGAATGCATCTGTGCACCCATCGGCAGTGGGTGTGCAGGTGACAATGCTGGGGGTCTGGGGACAGAGGAGGGAGGGGACGGAGCCAGGCACTCACCAGGCCATGGCAGGAGCTGAGGGCTGCAGTCCCCACTCTGGAGCCTTGCTGCAGGACTGTACCCCTGAGGTGGCAGGGGGGCGCGGAGGAAGCCACCATCTTAACGTGGGAGAGGTTTCCATGCCTTCTCTCCACGATGTAGCTCTTGGAAAGAAATCCCTGATTGACTGTCAAGTTGAAAAGCAGGTCCTTCTCCTCATGCGAAATTCTGTAATATACCCGGTCCTCTGGGCCATCCACGGCCCTCTTCCTCCTGCTGCTGGTGAAGGCATGGTGCAAGCCATATGACAGAAAATGCCCCTGCGCATCTACTCGGACGGGTGCCACCACGTGGTATTCTGGCAGGGCCTTGACGAAATGCTCTGAAAGGAAAGGAGACACGGTAAAGCAGAGATCCCTGCTGAGTCTGTAGCAAGGCCCACATACTTCCGTTTGGAGCTCAGATTTTAGGTTGTTCATTGCAAAACCCCACTGTTGGCTGGACATTTCGAGATCCTTTCCACCAAACAAATACTGTCAACAGTAAAGTCCCTGAAGAACTGACCCAGGACTCCCTTCTCAATGAGGTGTGACTGTCTAAGCTGACCCTGAGGAAGAGCTCTGGATGTCAGAGGTTTACCAGTGACAAATTAAGGTGAGAATTAATTCATAAAGAATACTCTTAGGAAGGAGGCACGATCAGTATGACAAACAGGAACATTTCAGGGCTAGAGTTCGTAAATACAAACCATAGCACTTCACTTTTTATTAAGGAGTTTAAACACCTTGGGGAGGTCCTGCTAAAGGAGGTTAAGGGAAGATAAAAGGCAAAAACCCAGCAAACCCATCGTGTACACTGTGACAAACCTCGCACCAATAACAGCGCAAGTGGTCCCTAATGTAGCTTAAAGGAACTTGGGCATTTCTTTTTATTTTTATAAAATATACAGAATAAAAGAGTAAGTGAACCCATAAGGATCTGAGGCACAGATGCAAAATATAAAAGTTGCCACTTTCACAAGGCAGAACAGGAACATTCGTGCCTTCCACACAAGAACACAGACACGGGCTCACATTCACATCTCACTTCTAGTTCCTCATTTTGACATTTGAGAATAACAAGGAATCTAACTTTTAGGGAGTAATTATCACTCTGGAACACAAACTATTTAAAGTAAACTGTTAACACTTAGTAAGATAAACTAACCTTTTGCTTGAGGCAAATAAGTAGAAAAAAAGAAAACAAAAATGGAAGGAAGTGGGGGAGGAAGGAGAGAAAGGGAAAGCAAGTCTACTTGCTACCTTGCAGCTGTGCTCCCTTGTTCTAACCTGTATTACTTTGCTCCTGTCACTTCCCCAGAACTACGCTCTTCTCACTCTCTATCAATATCCTGCTTCTTCCTGTTCATGCTTCAAAGCCCCAACTCCAATCCTCCCTATTCTCCCTCCTCATGCATCTGGTTGAAGTTCTCTCCGCACCTCTGAACCCACCTCCATTCCTTACTTTCTCTACCTCCCAGAATGGCCTTATTTCACATGCCTTTTGTTTCTTAGGCTATTTATGCCCACGTCCTTCGGAGGCCAGAGTCTTGCACATCGCAGCCTGGATGGAGGAATGAGCACACTTGTAGCTGGTTAGTTCAAAGAACTGGACTTGATGGGGTACAATGACAAAAGACCTTCAAACACACTTTGAGGAGAGGTTTATCTCCACCTTAAATGAGTACAGTCTCACTCTTCAGTACTAACAAATTGTCTCAATTTGTAGGTGCAAAATGTCCAGGCCCGTTACTTCAACTGCAGCAGTGAGAAGGAATAGGCCACACAGTGACGCAGGCAGATCTTCAAAACAAGGCTCAAGGAGAAGTACGAAACAGGACAACTTAATGCAGACCCACTTACGTTAATGGAAAATGTGTGCTCATAGAAACAATACTACAAAGTTTGCCGGAGCATGCGCAAACAAACAGTACACATGGAACCCATTAAAATGGTCTTCTACAGGGAAGAATGAAAGTGAAGAATAGGAAGAAAATGCATACATGAATAAAAAAGAAACAGGGTTCTGTATCAATTAATGATGCTACTATACCAGAACTAGGAGTCAAGTTGGCTTAGCGCTCTGTGCCGCCCTCCCCCAAGGACTAGCTGGACCTCTGTGGTATTGGAGCTTCACTGCCCTGCTCTTCCAAGATCGGCCCTCAGGAGAGGAATGGCCAGGTTGGGTGAGGGGGTGCAGTGGGCTTCTGTTCGTGATCCTCTTAGTAACTTCTCTTCTTTTTCTGGTAGCTATGTCTCCGGCTCCCCCAGGGCTGGAGCAATGGAGGGAAGTCGGAGGCAGGAAAAGCCTTATTCAGCTGAATACCCATGCGGCCGTCCCCTCAGCATGTGGCCAACGTCGAGGTGCTGACTCCCTCTCTCAAAAATCAGATCTTATGTCCCTTATAGGGCCTGTCTCTGAAGATGCAACTCAAAGAGTAAGCACAATATTTGAAAGTATAAATGAAAGACTAAAGCACCTATTTCCCAAGGACTGCAGGAGCAAACAAATTTATAGCTTTTGACGAAGTTGCTTTTAACTTCGTGGATTTTTTAAAAAGCCAGCATAATGTGGCTGCATAATAATGCAGTGATAACAATTATGCTAGCCATTTAATGAACACTTGCTATGAGCCAGTAACTATAAGCCTCTCTTTATTCAATACTCACAACAGCCCCATGATAGAATTATCCCCATTTCACAGATAAAGAAACTGAGTCTAAGGGAGGGCACAGAGCCCATATGCAACATTACTTGGATTAAAATCTTGTGCTTCCTATTTCAAAATCACGTTCTTGCCCCTGTACGTCAGGTACATACATGCGCATGCCCTTGGCAGAGAATGTAACAGAACAGAGGCAAGCACACTGCCCCTGGCAAAGATATTCCAACAAGCAAAGAACTGCTTGACTTCTTTAAGAGGCCTCCGTCTGCCTGGCAATAAATGGAGCTACTAATTGCCTTTTTATCAGAGTCCTAGGACCTAGGGTTGGCTCTGCCCCTTGATGTTACTGCAACGGAGGCAGATCAGCCCTGTCAGCCCACAGGGCTAGATGGAAATACCATGGAAATGTACGGAGTGTGGTTAATGTCGGTGGACCAACTACGGTTGCCTCATGTGTACCCTGAGCATAACAACAATATCTGCCTCTCAGGGTGGGATAAGGATCCAATGTATTAATATAGGTAATAGATTTAGAACAATGCCTGACACATAGCTCTCACTAGCTATTGTTGATCTTAAAGACAGAAACTTGGCTACCAGTGATCTCTGTGGCCGTAAATACGTGTGACCTCCAATCGAAGGAGGGGAGAAGCCCCGTTCACCTTGGGTTCCTCCCAGTAGGCATTTTGTTTGGAAGACTAGGTAGCTATAACCTTGGCCAACAGAAAGCAGAGCCCAAAGGGAATATAGAAGGAGCAGAGAAATAAGATGTCAGGAAATAACAACAGCTCCTCATTTTTACCATTGCAATAGTCAAGCAGAGCATTCAAATTATACCAATTTGATCTTATCTAATGCTTGGAGTTCTCAGGGGAAAGTATTATTAACGGTGTCCCTCGTCTCAGCCTTAACTCCTACCTCTGTAAAAAATAATAATAATAATAATAATAAAGAGGGGTGAGGATTTATGCCGGGCAACATGACCCCGAGCCCACCCTTCGGAGCTCAGCCCCGCATGCCTCTCCAGGGTCTGCGTCAGGCTGAGGGGAGGCTGGGACGCACTGTAATGACATCACAGTCGACTTCGGGGTTCGTGAAAATAAGTTATGAGCCCTGAACACTTTGATTTGCCTTGTTTAAAATTCAATTGGAAACCACAAATACTTCATGAGTACAAGCACTTTTGAAAACACGAAATACCAAGTGATCTCTTACCCTTTGCTTCAGAAGAAAAGCGAAAGGTGAGAGAACATTCACCTGCCAGTTTTTATAAATTTAGGGTTAAATCTAGGATTATTCTTCATGTTTATTTCTATGTTAGAGAGCAATTGAATTTCTAAGGCTCCTTACTGAAAAGGGCAATGAAATTCCTATAAATGGGTATTTATTTCATAATTATCTTCCACAGATTGCTGTAACCTTTCAACTGTATTTTTATTATAGGACACTATGTGTGTGAAAATGTTGTGGAGAATCATGTTGGTCCCCTCAAAGTTGAAAAATAAGGCACATGAGGGTGGCTTTGTTCCCCAACCCTGTGATAACTAACCTGCAGAGCGTAACTGCTCAATATTATTAACACATGTAAAATATCAAAACGGTGACATCTCTTCTTACATGAAGGACATATCCAGAATCATTTTCTCCTTGTAGAACTTACTTTTTCCGCCCCCGCAAATGGCATAAAGGCATGATTACAACATTTGTGTTGAAACACACAGCCACACTCCCAGCGTCCTTGCACAAGCCCATCTCTAGCGTGGGATCAAGCATCTGCCCTGTGGGTTTCATGGAGCTGCCGAGAGCAAAAGAGGTCACAGAAGTGACCAGCGGTGACTTGCAAACGGCCCAGGGAATAACCCACCTACGAGGACAGCACTGGCTATAGGAGAGAGGCAGCATGTCGGGAGCAAGACGAGCATTTCCCATTGCTCTGGTCCTTGGTGGGGACCCCTGTGGAAGTCATTGCACAACCGAGCAATGTGGCAAGCATGCTGAGCAGAGTTCGTTTGCCAAAGCTGTTTCTAGTCCCAGAAAGGATTGGATTTATCTCCCATCCTCTTTCCTCAGTCTAAAATCCGGACTCTGCCCCACCTTTAGACCTAGAAGGAACTGTAGTGGTTACCTAGTTTCGGAGTGCGTTTCCAACTGTGGGACTCTTCCCCCCTCTGGTGAAGTGGCAATAGGTGGGTGCTCAATAAATCCACGCTGACTAACAGACTGACTGCCTAGGCCACCCATTCCTTGTCTGTAAAAGTAAGAAGGATGGGAGAAGTGATAGCTAGAGTAATTTGCAAGTTTAAAAGTTCAGAGTTTGGGTGCAATTCAAAAATGTTGTCAGCGTTCCAGTGGGAGTCTGGGGAAACCGGCCAATGGCGAAGCAGCAGGCAGGTCATTTGGAAGCAAAACCCAGGTCATCCTATTCCCAGGAAGCCTCAAAATCTTCTTCTCTGACTAGTTTGCTCTCTCAACTTAGTCTTGGATGAAGGACACATATTTTGGTGAAAAGGCTTTAAAAATCTGAAATTATTTTCAAAACCTGTAATACCTACACAATGCTAATAAACTCAGCTCAGAGCACATTACAGCTGTTTTTCAACGTCAACCACTCTCAGTCCATAACCCTAAAGGTGACCACGAGAAACAACCACCTCCCACTCTTCAGGGAAGAGAAAGAAAGCAAGGCCCTGGGCTGTCTGTCTGCTCCACACTACACCAAATTCTCTTCCACTACAATGTAGATGCCGAGCAGACACAGCCGAAAACCCACCCAGGAGAACGTGTGTCTTTGAACCAAGCCATCTCCAAATTCCCTGGGAAGTGCTTGCAGGCTTTGTTTGTGCTGCCACAGAAGAGAGACTTTTCACAAAGGGGCTGTTTTTCAAAGAACAACAAACGCTGCTATTTTAAACTTGGGGGTAGGAGATGGTATCTGGACCGTTTACACAAGCGAGTGCTGGCTGACTGACATCCAACCCCAGTGCTGCGGGCGCCAGCTTCCAAGCAAAGCAAAGGGTCTGGCATCTGGTGGCTCTTGAAGTCTCAGCAGACGAGCTCTCCGGCAGGTTTGAACTTTGCAATGTAGGCACAAACCCTCACGAGGAAATCCTAAGAAGGCTGTGCTGGTGATGTCTACCACCCAAGTGGTCTTGGGGATCAAAGGGGGTCAGGGAGCTATGGCAGCTTCCCAAGACTTGAGCACAGTCAGCAGATAGAGGACTTAACGGATGCTAACCCAGTGCGCTGTGTGTGTGCCCTGAGTGCATGTGTGTGTGTGTGTGCGCGCGCGCGCGTGCGCGCGCGCCTGTGTTGTGCCTATTACCGCTATTGGACAATGCTGCTTCATTGTAAGGGGCCCGCCTCTGGAGTCAAGCTACCTGGGTTCAAAACCTCAGTCAGCTGCTAGCCAGGTCCAGAAACTCTCCCGGCTTCAGCGGCCTCATCTGTAAACAGCGGCAGTCACTGAGGTCCTGCACCCAGCAGGCTGCTGTGGGTGGCCAGTGGGCTGCCGCGCAGAGCGCCTTAGTAGTCTTGGAGCCACGCAGGCCACTCTAGTGCTGTGACAGTTTTCTCCCAGAGGCACAATGAACTGTCCACCAAACGGCTAAGTGTCTGCCCCTTCCAAGGCCAGTAAAATAGCTCAGGCAACAGTACCACCCGTGTAGGGGGCTGCACTTAACAATAATTAACAACAACAAATCGTCTGCTGCAACGGCTCCAGTGCTTTCTATGGCAATAGGAGCGTCACAAAATTCAAAGAGAGATGCAGCTGGCTGTGATCAGGAAGGCCGGACAGGGGAACCAGAGCCCCTAAGGTGGTAAATTTTCCCCAAAAGGACTGTTATATTTAAAACACAGCCCTAAATCTTTCCAGGAAACCAAAACACAGCCAGGCTCAGCCAGCAGGAGGGCGGAATCAGATTTCCCCGTTCCCTGACTAGCAGTTTAAAATGGACTAGAAACGCTCCGATGTCTGCCCGTAGCCAGTTGGAATTTTATTAAAAAAATCACGTTCGTGCTCAGATTCTGAGAAAGAGGAGATGAAGCAGTGCAGCTTCAGAGGACACAGAGAGAAAGGTGGGGTGCTCGCCAGCTACCTCGGGGGCCTGACTGCAGCAGCAACAGGAGAGAGAGAGGCGGGCTCCCACCTTTCGGTAAGAATTAAGGAATCCTCACCTGAAACACTGGATTCTGAGAAGTACTGTTACTGAGCTCCCAGCTCCGATTTCCTCACCGCTGAGCCAAAAGGCTCCGCAGAGTTCAGCCCAGTGGGGGAGGGGGAAAGGGAGCCACCAACTTTTCACTGGTTTTACCACGACGGTTTTCAAAGGAGACAAAGAAAAGCCACCAACCTTGCCTCCTGTCCGGGAAGCGCACCTGGCCGGGCTGCGGGTGTCTGCCATAGCACAGGCCCCCAAAGGTCAGGAGCTGAGCCACCACCGAGAGGTTTGCAAGCCAGCTCCCCTGGGCACATGGCATGATTCAGTTGTTGGGCAGAAGAAAAGTTACCAAGTTTTAGCTCTCAACTTAAGAAACCGAGTCCTTGCCTGTGGCCGAGCGGGGAGACGCCGGGGTGCATGGTCCAGGCGTGGGGCGTGAGCGGCGGAAAAGCTGCCCAGAGCTCCCGTCGCTTTTTTAAGCAGAGAGGGGCTAGTTACCTTGATTTCCCCTCCCTCCTCCTGAAAGGGGAGTGATTTCAGCGGACAGCCTCTGTTTGGTGCGGGGTGTGGAACGGGTCGGGGCGGGGGGGCGCAGCCCACCCCAGATCCCCACCCCTCTTCCTCCCGCGCCCAAGCCTCGCGGCCGGCTCTGCGCATCTTCCTCCGGGACTCCCACCCCCGCGCTCCTCCGCCCCGCCCAGCGCCCGGGCGAGCCGGCCAAATAGGGGAGCCCCGCGAGAGCCACCCTGGGCGGGACTCCGGGAGGGAGGCCCCAGGCCAGCCCCTCACCAGGCCCGAAGGCCGGCGGAGGACTTGGAGCGCAGAGGTGGGGCAGAGGCACCACACTCCCCACCCTCTGCAGCTCAGTGCTGCCCCCTTTCCTGCCTTCCTCCTCCCGGGTCCGAACTTTCCCTAACATTGCTCACAATACTGAGGCTCCTCCGCCGGCCAGACTTCTGGGGGATCCTCTTCCAGCCAAGCGAGGACTCCCACTTGAAAAACGAATAATAGATCATTTTTCTCTTTGCCAAGTCACACAAAGGGAAACGGTCTGAGCTAATTTGCTGGTTTGGCCCTGGGCAAGTCCCTTCCTCTGTGCGAAAGGTCACTTGACCAAATGATTACCAAGTGATAGGAACGAGTCTGCAGGTCTCGCTGGTGGTTTTCTACCTCGATAACCCCAGCCTACCTAGCCCATCTCCACTCACCCAAAAGGACACGGGCAGAACAGAGGAAGTAAGGCAGCCCAAGGGGGTGCCAGCGCTTTCTCCAGTTCACCTAAACAGGCTGTCCCCGGGGGTGTGCGTTCAGAGGTTGATGCTTCACGTCATCCCCGAGAGAACGCCGCAAGCGGGGGAGCTTTGCCAGGCTTCCTGAGAATTTACTGGGATAACCCAGCCAAGATTTTGCACCTCTGGACTTCAACGGGCCTCCTTACTCCATTCAGGAGGAATTTGGCCCCATGTGGGTTTTCCGTGGATTCCAGCCAACCGTGTGTGTTCAGCAAGAGGTTTCAGATATCAGCTCAGCAGGCAGCCAAATCAAAGCAGTGACCAAGTGGAAGGTGGTCCTACCGGGGCGGGGCCGGGTTCTGCAGAACACTGAACACACGCCCACCAGGACACTCCGAGGGCTATGTGTCAGTTTCCTGTGATTGCCGTTAGGACGTCCCGTAAACTTGGCCAATTCAAACAGCACAGGTTTATTATCTTGCAGCTCTGGAGGTCCGAAGTCTGAGACGGGTCTCACTGGGCTAAAATCAAGATGTTAGCACAGCTGCATTCCTTTCTGGAGGATGAAGGGAGAAGCTGTCTCCCTGCTTTTCGCATTTTCTAGAGGCTGCCCCGTTCCTTGGCGCGTGGCTCTCCTCCCCCGCTGTCAAAGCCAGCAATGACCAGTTGAGTCTTTCATGTCATATCACCCTGTCAGTGTCTCTATTCCCTCCCTTTTCATTTATAAGGACCCTTGTGATTACATTGGGCCACCAGGATCCTCCAAGATAATCTCATCTTAAAGAGAGCTGATTAGCAACCTTAATTCCACCTGCAACCTCTATCCCCTGGCATGTCATATAACATCTTACGTTAGGTCATCATGGGCCAGTCACAGACCTGCTGAAAAGGCAAGGAAATCAGTCATGTAGGAAATCAGGACTGTGTGCTACCTGATAGGCTTCAATGGGGAAAACAGCATCGCTTCTGTGAAATCTCTGCCAAAGATATGTAGCCTGACTCTCACTGCGAGGAAACATCAGACAAATGGAAAGTGAGGGACAGTCTGCAAAATAACTGGCTTTTTCTCTTCAAATGACCATGAAAGGAAAACTGAAAAACTATTCCAGATTAAAGGACACCGAAGAGATATGACCACTAAAGGCAGCACAACTCTGAATCGGATCCTTTGTGACAAAGGACATTGTTGGAACAATTAGGGAGACTGGAAAGGTGAGAAAGGATTGCACGGTCCTATGGTATCCCTGCTAAGTTCCTCGTGGTGATGGCTGTGGTCGTGCAGAAGAGTGTCCTTGTATATTAGAGATACATATTCGGGGTTTGGAGGGACGGGGAGTCTCGTGCACAACTTGTTCTCAAATAATTCAGAGCACAAAATGTTCTTTATTTTATCTTTACTTCCAACTATTCTGTAAGTTTGAGATTGTTTCTAGATGAAAAAAATCATGTAGCAATCTGCTCTGATTCTTTAAAATAATTTAGCACGTGGTGGAGATGCTATAGAACTGGACATTAGAGGAACCCAATATGAGAAGCTAGCAGACAACATGCTCCCGTGCGGGGGTCCCTGAGCACCCAGGCTGAGAGCAGTGGCTGTGACCGTTGTCATACTGATCCTATGTTGGCCCTGAACCACATGGGCACCAGCCCCTTTAGTTTATTCTGCCTTAAAGATCAAGTCTGAATTTAAGAAGAGTATCTATTGTTCCCAAGGAAAGGAAGAAGGGGATGAGAGGCATCAGGGAAACTACATGCCGCTGCCTTAGCAAAAGGGAATTCCGCATTTATTCATCCAACAATATTTCTTGACGGCCCTCTATGTGCACACGTTCGGAATATAGCAATGAATAAAACAGAGACCCTGTCCTCATATTTGCGTATGCTCCAGTCTGGGTAGGGCAAGGGAGAGGAATAGAGAGAAACAAACAAGTAAATATGTGATATGAATGACAGTGATGAGAACAATAAGCAAGCTAAGGAGGACAGGGAGTGATTGAGAAGGTGAGCTCCTGCTTTCTACAAGGGGGCTATTTTTTCAAGAGTGATTCACTAGCTCACATTGGAGGTGGGAAGGTGGGGAAGGAGTCCTGGCTCTACGTACTCAACTGCACAGAAGAAAAAACAAGGCGCAGAGACCAAAGACTGAGTTTGTTTGGTTAAGCAACTAACCCCACTCACTAGTAAATGCAGCTTAATCAGTGTCCCCGAAATCTGACCTGATTAGAGAGTCTCGCATGGAGCGTGGTGCCAGGAAGGGATGAAAGTACTAAGGAATGTCCACAACCTCAGTTTACCGCACTCTTTATACCCCCTTATCCCACTGGGCTCAGCCAGAGCCTGTGAGTGGCCGGGGTTGGGCTTCTCCTCCTTATCGCTGCTCTTTGGTATCCTCCAGGGACCCTTTGAGAGCAGAACTTCAGCTGTGCCCCAGGAAACTCTGAAGTGAGTAAAGGAGATCAGTTCAGGCAGCAAGGAGGATATACCGTTATAGTACCCACTCTTTTTTTAGTGGCATTGAGGTATGATTGATGTACTATAAGCTGCATGTGTTTACAGTTGCAATTTTATGTGTTGACACATTTACACCCATGAAACCATCACCGCAGTGTGTCCGTTGGGGGGGGGGGGCAGGTGCACGAGTGTGTTCGTGTGCGTGCGTGTGCATTCAAGCCAGGAGTTTCCTCCTGCCCCAATGTGCATCACCCCCGACCACAGGAAACCACTGTCCTGCTTTCTGTCCCAGGACGCGGGTTAGCACTTCTGGAATTTTGTATAAATGGAGTCATCCAATATGTGCTCACTTTTGTCTGCCTTCTTTCACTCAGCATTGTTATTTGAGATTCATGGATGTTTTGTTTATCAACATTTGGCTCCTTTTTATTTCTGCACAGTATTCCATCATGTAGATCTGCCACAAATGAGCAAATCATTTACCTTGTCACTAATTTATCTGTTGACCACTGGGAAATTGGACACCTAAACTAAAATCAGGCAGATGTGTACATACCACTAATTCACGTTCAACATTTTTTCTCGCCTCCGATGAAGCGAGGCTCCTGTGTGCTCCATCAACTGCATTGCAGGGGACAGTATGTGTTTTTCTTCAAGGTAAAGCAACTTTAAAACGTACACATCAAAATAATTTTTAAAAGCAGGCTTTGAAGTTAACCCTGGATTAAGATAAAAGTTCTCTTAATGCTTTATGGTTTTGTAGAGTCTCACAGAGCTCCCCACACGGGCGGCCAAGGTTTAGGTTATCTCCGTGCCGGGAAATGAATGTTGGCGGCGCTTTCATTCTCCAGAGCACAGAAGGCCAGACTCTGTGCTCTCCAAGAACCTTTCTTGGGACTCAGGGGGCAGCCAGCTGAGGGCTAGCTGCCTCCGCTAACACCTCACCCACCTCAGCCATGCTTTCCCAATGCTCCGTCCAGGCTTGTCTCCTCTGTTGCTTCATCCCATCCGAGTGTGGTAGATAACACCAACTCATGCATGATCAGTTACCTGCTGGTTGTCCTGCTAAATCTTTTTTTCTTTAGATCTTATTTATTTACTTTTTAGAGAGAGAGGAAGAGAAGGAGAAAGAGAGAGTCCATGATGGCCTGCCTCTCACACACCCCCAACCGGGGACCACAACCAGGGACTGCAACCCAGGCATGTGCCCTGGCAGGGAATGAACAGGCGGCCTTTCGGTTCTCAGGATGGCACTCAATCTGCCGAGCCACAGCAGCCAGGGCAAGTCTTCCTAAATCTTCCCTGCATCTCTTGACAGGCCTCCGAGCACAAAGGTTTGTCTTGGCTCCGTTCCCTGCTTCCTGCAGTGAAGCAGTGGTTGTGATTCATCTCTTGAAGGTGAGTGGGGCGATATGTGTATAGAGAGACAGATGGAGCCCGTGAATGCGGGTGTGCGATTTTTTTATTCATTTGTATTCACTGTGTTTTATTCATTTCTGCCTTTCACTCCAAGATAAAAATGGTAAGTGAATATGGTGACTTGGTGGAGAACGATCTACGCTGAGGCTTAAGGAGACACCCCTATTCCAAACTCCATCTGGCCTTGGGAAATAGATTCTGGTTTAAGTTAATAGCTGACCCCTTCTTCTCT